GCCATCTCCCGGCCCCACCCCCAAAGTCCCCAGATATTTTCCAACCTAGACCTGGCAACCCTAAATGGCAATATCACCCAGCCTGATGAAGGGAGCTTTGACGCTTGGAAACTTATTCCCTGAAACTCTTGTTGGTCTCTAATCTGCTATTGGACTCAAATCTAACTGTCCCAGTATCACCAAGTAAGTGTCATGCAAAATGTAGATCTGAACATGGGTCTCCTCAATCCACACTATCATTGGGCCTGGCTAGGATCCTACTGCCCATTGTCTTTTGGTCTGAAGCTAGCTGTGTTTGCTGCCTGGACAAGCCCAGGCATGCCCGGCCCTGTAGGGGCCTGATACACTACACCCAGTATCACCAAGTAAGTGTCATGCAAAATGTAGATCTGAACATGGGTCTCCTCAATCCACACTGGTCTTCATGCCATTGGTCCATCTACTTCAGCATGGTCTGCTCTGATGCAGGTGATCTCTAGAGATTCAGACAGAGAAAGATCCTTTCCAACACCTGTTTTCTTAGACCTTCTCGGTTTAAACCTTTATCCTTTGGCACACAAAGCATGATTTCTCTACCATCAGTCTATCAGTGTCATCATTGTCTACTCAGAGTGGCAGTGGTTCTCCAGGGTTTTATGTAGAGGATTTTGCCAATGCCATGCTTTGTTTCTGAGCCATTGGGCCTGGCTAGGGGGGTTCTCAAGGGTTTCCAGGTCCCCCTAAATTTCTGGAGAACCCCTTCCTAAATCCCACATGGCTCCGCCTCCATAAATAGTGACAATGGCCTGTGACATCACTGGCTCCTCCCTGTGATGTCACTGGGGCTCGGTTCTTTTAAGGACCTGGCACAGCAACACACACAGAGCGGCAGAGAGATAAACAGGGGCAGACACACACATACATACACAGAAGGGGTAGAGAGAGAGACAAACAGACACACACACAGGGGCAGACAGAGAGAGAGAGAGAGAGAGCGGCAGAGAGAGGAACAGAGGGGCAGAGAGAGAGAGAGAGAAAGAAACAGATACACACAGAGAAGGATCAGAGAGAGAGAGAGACAGACACACATACACAGAGCAGCACAGAGAGACACAGAGGGGCAGAGAGAGAGAGACAGACACACACAGAGAAGGGGAAGAGAGAACCCACAGAGGGGCACGCGCGTGCACACACATATGGAAATGGCACGGGGTGCCTCTGCAGGCCTTTCCCTGCCCATCTGCCTTGGCGGGCGAGCAGAGAAAGGCGGGGGGCACTCCGAAGGGCTTTCTCTGCCCGTCCGCCGACTGATTCAAGGTTATCTAGGTGGCTGCATGTGGAGGAGTGGGGAATCAAACCCGGTTCTCCCAGATTAGAGTCTGCTGCTCTTAACCACTACATCAAACCACTACTCCAAACTTCAGCCAGCTCTCCTCTCACTACTCCATGGTCCCTTCAAAATCTAGTTCATTCATTCATTCATACATAAAGAAACCCTGAACACATGAAGCTGACTTTATACTGAATCAGACCCTCCGTCCATCAAGGTCAGTATTGTTTACTCAGGCTGGCAGCGGCTCCCTGAGGTCTCAGAGCAAAGGTCCTTTACATCACTTCCAACCAGGGGTCATTTCGTAGAAAAAGAGGTGCAGGAGCTCAGTAGCATAGCTCATTAGCATAACTTATTTGCATATGCCACACCCCCTGACATCACCGGCAGTGTGTCAGAAGGCAA